TTTGAGGGATTCAATGAAGAAAGCATTGATATTAGCAGTCTACATAACAAGTTGGTAAATTTAGATACTATAGTGAACTCTCATGTAGAAATAATTAGTAAATTGAAAGAAAGTAATGACCATTTGAATAGCAAAGTTTTATGTCTTGAGGGTTTAGTGAAAGACTTGCGCAAGGATAAGAATCAATTGGAAACAAATTGCAAAGCCATGGAAGAAGAAAATAAACTCTTAAAAATAGCTTTGGAAGAAGTTAAAGTAAATTTAAACATAAATGACTACAATAGGTTAGGCAAGGAAATTCAACAGGAGAAACAGCTTTTGTCAGCACAGATGGAGGAAGTTACACAGGGAATAGAACAGTGCAAGAAAGATATGCAACTCACTTATGCACAAGTGGCCAAGGAGAAGGAAAAATAGAAGAAGCAGTAAAGGAAGTCAAACACTGCAGCAACCAAGATAAAACAAACATTAGGCTAGAAGTGAGGAAAGAATTGGCATCTAACCCGAAGTTGGTGCAAAACACAGTTGATCGGAGTAAGTCCCTGATCATTTTTGGCTGCAAAGAAAAGACGATAACATCTAGGTCAGAAAGAGTTGTAGAAGAAGCTAAAGTAGTAGATAAAATTGTTGGTCTCGTGGAAGGTCTTACAACCATAGAGAATGTGTGCGACTACAGGAGAATAGGCAGGTACGTAACAGGGAAAGATCGACCTTTGAGGATCACCCTAAACAGTGCCAAACAGATGGAAGAAGTACTAAGGAATGCTAGAAAATTGCAAAGTGATGAGGATGGGAAAGGGTGGTCGTTAAGACGAGATCTTTCAAAAGAAGATAGAGAGAAGCTGAAACTGAACCTCGCCGAGGCAAAACATTTAAATGAGAGCAGGAATGAAGAAGAAATAAATTATTTTTTCTACAAAGTGATAGGGGTAGGCAAACCAGTAAAGTGGTACATAAAGGCAAACCAACAAAATCAATAGAGAGAGGGGGAGTGAAGAATAAGGAGAGGGGGAACAAGTTCCTGAAGATTGCATACACCAACATAGATGGAGTGAGATCGAAGATACTGGAGTTAAGTGATGTAATACAGCTGCAGACACCAGACATTGTTGCACTCACGGAGACAAAACTTGAAGATGTAATTTTAAATGAGGTCATATTCCCAAGGGGCTACTCAATTTGGAGACGGGACAGAAAAATTAGGAAAGGCGGTGGCGTTGCTGTGCTGGTAAAAGAACACCTAAAGGTGAAGGAAATAATGACTGCCAATCCACAAGAAGTTGACATAATAGCACTAGAGATCTGCTATGAGGATGATAAACTAATGATGATAAATGCATATAGTCCACCGCCAAGCAGCACATGGTCAAAGGAGGAGCTAGATAGTAAACGTGAAGGTCTTATAACAATAATGAGAGAGATTATAGCGAGAGCGGATAACGATAGATCACGACTGTTGATAGTCGGCGACTTCAACTTGAAATCCATAGACAGGGAAGCATATGAAGCTAAAACAGAAGATTTTTGGACCTGTAAATTTGTAGACCTCATCCTGGAAACATTCTTGTATCAACATGTTAAACAAGCTACGAGGATGAGGGAAGGGGATGTTCCCTCCATGCTAGATTTGATATTTACCAGGAAGGAGGAAGAGATATTTGACATTCAGTACCTTCCTCCCTTGGGTAAAAGTGACCATGTCTTTTTGGGAATAAAGTATGCAATGCGTTATAAGCTGGAAGAAAATAAGGAGGTTGAAGCAGTTGAAAAACCAGACTTCAGGAGAGGACATTATGGTGACCTTAGAAATTTTTTTAGTGAGTATAATTGGACAGACTTGATGCTAGGCAAGGAAGTGAATGAGATGTATGGCAAGTTTTGTGAAATATATGATAAAGGCACAAAAAAATTTATACCAAAACAGAGATGCAGAACTAGGAAACAGGATTGGTTCAATAGAAATTGCGAGAGGGCTAGAGACCGAAAGACACAAAAATGGAATCAATACAGGAAGAGGCCGAACCCCCAAACATACCAGCGATACAAAGATGCGAGAAACAACTACACGGCAGTGAGGAGAGTGGCAGAAAGAAATTTTGAAAATGGGATTGCGGACAAATGTAAAACAGAACCAGGTCTATTATATAAATTCATAAACAACAAATTGCAGGTAAAGGATAATATTCAGAGGTTGAAAATGGGAAATAGATTCACGGAAGATGAAAAGGAAATGTGTGAAACACTAAACGAAAAGTTCCAAAGTGTGTTTGTACAAAATGAAATCTTTAGGGAACCAGATACAATAAGAATTCCAGAGAACAACATAGAACACATAGAGGTGTCTAGAGACGAAGTGGAAAAAATGCTCAAGGAGCTCGGTAAGAACAAAGCAGCTGGCCCAGATGGCGTTTCACCATGGGTTCTGAGAGAATGTGCATCTGAGCTCAGCATTCCACTTCACCTGATCTTTCAGGCATCCCTGTGTACAGGAATCGTAGCAGACGGGTGGAAACAGGCTAACATAGTTCCAATCTACAAAAGTGGCAGCAGGGAAGACCCCCTCAATTATAGACCTGTATCATTGACAAGTGTAATAGTGAAAGTATTGGAAAAACTAATCAAAACTAAATGGGTAGAACACCTAGAGATAAATGATATAATATCAGACAGACAGTATGGTTTTCGATCTGGAAGATCCTGTGTATCGAATTTACTCAGTTTCTATGATCGAGCCACAGAGATATTACAGGAAAGAGATGGTTGGGTTGACTGCATCTATCTGGACCTAAAAAAGGCTTTCGACAGAGTTCCACATAAGAGGTTGTTCTGGAAACTGGAAAATATTGGAGGGGTGACAGGTAAGCTTCTATCATGGATGAAAAATTTTCTGACTGATAGAAAAATGAGGGCAGTAATCAGAGGCAATGTATCGGAATGGAGAAATGTCACAAGTGGAGTACCACAGGGTTCAGTTCTTGCACCAGTGATGTTTATTGTGTACATAAATGATCTACCAGTTGGTATACAGAATTATATGAACATGTTTGCTGATGATGCTAAGATAATAGGAAGGATAAGAAATTTAGATGACTGTCATGCCCTTCAAGAAGACCTGGACAAAATAAGTATATGGAGCACCACTTGGCAAATGGAATTTAATGTTAATAAATGTCATGTTATGGAATGTGGAATAGGAGAACATAGACCCCACACAACCTATATATTATGTGAGAAATCTTTAAAGAATTCTGATAAAGAAAGAGATCTAGGAGTGGTTCTAGATAGAAAACTATCACCTGAGGACCACATAAAGAATATTGTGCAAGGAGCCTATGCTATGCTTTCTAACTACAGAATTGCATTTAAATACATGGATGGCGATATACTAAAGAAATTGTTCATGACTTTTGTTAGGCCAAAGCTAGAATATGCAGCTGTTGTGTGGTGCCCATATCTTAAGAAGCACATCAACAAACTGGAAAAGGTGCAAAGACATGCTACTAAGTGGCTCCCAGAACTGAAGGGCAAGAGCTACGAGGAGAGGTTAGAAGCATTAAATATGCCAAAACTAGAAGACAGAAGAAAAAGAGGTGATATGATCACTACATACAAAATAGTAACAGGAATTGATAAAATCGACAGGGAAGACTTCCTGAGACCTGGAATTTCAAGAACAAGAGGTCATAGATTTAAACTAGCTAAACACAGATGCCGAAGAAATATAAGAAAATTCACCTTCGCAAATAGAGTGGTAGACGGTTGGAACAAGTTAAGTGAGAAGGTGGTGGAGGCCAAGACCGTCAGTAGTTTCAAAGCGTTATATAACAAAGAGTGCTGGGAAGACGGGACACCACGAGCGTAGCTCTCATCCTGTAACTACACTTAGGTAATTACAGGTCTATACTCTCCATTGGCTTTAGGGATAGGCATGATCATAGCTTTTTTCCATTTACTGGGAATACTGCCCTCTTTATAACTAATATTAAAGAGGTCTAACATTGGGTTTTCGTCATAATGGCAAGTTCATTAAGTATTTCATAAGTTACTCCATCCTCCCCAGGTGCGGTAGATTTCCCAACTTTAATCGCCGTTATTAGTTTTTTTTTTTTTTTTTTGAGATATATACAAGAGTTGTTACATTCTTGTACAGCCACTAGTACGCGTAGCGTTTCGGGCAGGTCCCTGGAATACGATTCCCTGCCGCGAAGAATCGTTTATATCGAGTTCTTCTCTGGTAATACCTGTGCAAGTGACATCACCACTGTTACCTGTTGTAAGTATAAAATCCTTTCTTAGATCTTTCTTAGATCTTTCCAAGAATCTAACGACTCTCTCGTTACAGCGGGTAATGAACTAAGTTTGGCAGCTTCCGCCCCTTTATTTACGAGACAATTTGCAATTCCTTGCGGGTCAGGATGTGCAACAAAATTATGCTTTTTACCCCTTACTTTATTTACGTCTTGTCAGATTTCGTTCAAGTTTCTGTTACTCCCAACTTTCTCTGCAAACTCCTGCCAATACTTGCTCCTAATTTCCTTTCTCTTCTCCCCACACAGCCTAGCAACTGCCAGTAAAGCATTCTTCCCTTCCTCAGTCCTACCATTCCTATTCCAATTCCTGTGAGCTCTCCTCATTGTTAATGTCCACCCCTTAAGCATCTTGTCATGTGTATAATTTTCTTTTCTGGGGGGATGCTTTTTTATACTAGATGTTTTCCGGTTCAATGTTGCATTAAATACATCTACCTCCTTAATTAGACCTTCATAAAATTCTTCTGCCGAAACTGGCTTATAAGTATCATACCAAGACTTAATATGACCAACAAGACCCCTTAATTCTCCCTCATTAAACTCTAACCTTTTCCTCTGAAGGCAGGTATGCTTTTTATCTAGTTTAAGCTGTATTTGTAATGCAAGAAAAAGTGTCAGTATGGATGAGATTGTGTGAGTGAGAGTTTAAATGAGGCGGGTTGAGGTGAGCATCTCGTCGACAAAGCGCGCGCGAGGGAGACCGCGTGGTGAGTTTTTGGGTGCGGGTCTTGCGGTGCGCGCTCGCCATTACGCATATCCACAAACAGCCATATTACACCAGCAAAATACGTCACCTATTTTAGCATATCTCTACTCGCTCGTAAAGTACGTAAGTTTGTGAGTTTTGGAGGATGAGAAGGGTTAGTTGGGGCAGTTAAGAGAGCCATAATTAGTGATCTCTGGGCTCTGGGGTTAAAGTAAGAGTGAAATGAAGAGAACTAGTTACCGGTGTCTCCATCGCTGGAGCAAAGTGTCAAGTCTTGCACCCAGTTTCTTTGTGTTTCACATCGGCCACATGTCTTTTAGGTACGTTGGATTTCATGGCAGAAACACTGAGGTCTTGGATACTTCCTCTAATCTCCAATATATTTGTTCAGAGAACACGTGGAATTGTAATTTTTCCCCTTGGTAAACACGGGGGTGAGTAAGCATGGGGTGGTCTTATCATCCGGGCCTCGCCTCAGCCCTGCCTCACGGCCCTGCCTCACCGCCCTGCCTTACACCCCTGCCTTACACCCCTGCCTCATAGCCTTGCTTCACAGCCCTGCCTCACGGCCTTGTCTCACAGCCCTGCCTCACAGCTCTGCCTCACTGCCCTGCCTTACACCCCTGCCTTACAACCCTGCCTCATAGCCTTGCCTCACAGCCCTGCCTCACTGCCCTGCCTTACACCCCTGCCTTACAACCCTGCCTCACAGCCCTGCCTCACAGCCCTGCCTCACAGCCCTGCCTCACAGCCCTGCCTCACAGCCCTGCCTCACAGCCCTGCCTCACAGCCCTGCCTCACAGCCCTGCCTCACAGCCCTGCCTCACAGCCCTGCCTCACAGCCCTGCCTCACAGCCCTGCCTCACAGCCCTGCCTCACAGCCCTGCCTCACAGCCCTGCCTTACAGCCCTGCCTCACAGCCCTGCCTCACCCCCCTGCCTCACACTCACCCTCCTCTACCTATCACCTGGCTGGCTACTACCCACTCTTAGTTATTTCATTAGGTTATTGTGGGTGTAATGGGTGGGGTTGGGGGGGGGGGCTGCCCTGGAGTATGGGCCTCACCACCCTGCATTTATCACTGCATTTTACCCTCTGCATGTTCCACAAGTTGTCTGTGCACAGTCATTGAAATCCTGTAAATTGTGCAATGTATGATCTGAATTTTTTTAATGCATTTCTTGGTATTGACTGTGTACAAGAATTCCATTTAATTTGGAGGGTTTTGAAGTCATTTTCTCTGGTGTAAGACGAACATAAGCCAACAATTAGTGGATAAAAGTTGGTGATTTGATGTGATCATAATCTTGTGGTGCAGTCTACATTTGCATTATAAATATAAATTATATAGCATGCATTTTAACTTTTGAGACTTTGTACTAGAGTATATATCGTACACATTCCTGAAGCATAGTAAGAGTTAGGTAAGGACTAAACAAAAGTTGTGAAAGTAAAGTGACAAAGTTTCAGTCCCCGTGGTGCAGTGGTAAAGCATTTGCCCAGTGCTTTGCAAGCACTTTGGCCTGGGTTTGTATCCTGGTCAGGGAAGATTGACTTAACTGACAGGGAATCCATTACTGTAGCCTCTGTTCACCCAGCAGTGAATGGGTTCCTGGCTGTTAAACGATTTGGCGGGTCGTATTCCAGGGGAAAATTAGGATTAAGGACCTGCCTGAAACGCTATGCGTGCTAGTGGCTTTACAAGAATGTAAGAACTCTTGTATATATAAATTAAATAAATAAAAATAAAACATGCATCTGTTGGTGTTCCTGGAAGTATTTTATTGGAATTATGACTTTTTTTTTAATTAATTTTTATTTATATGTAGAAGAGTTCTTACAAAGCCACTAGCACGCATAGCATTTCAGGTAGGTCCTTAATCAAAATTTTTCTCCAGAATATATTGTTTAACAACCAGGTACCCATTCACTGCTGGATGAACAGTGGTGAACAGTTAAGGATTGGCACCCAGTCAATCCTCCCTGTTCAGGATACAATCCCAGGCTAAAGGGCTCGCGAAGTGCTGGCGAGTGCTTTACCACTGCGCCACAGGGGCTGCGATACATTTTGAGATACATGCCTTTAATTTTTTTAGCTATGCAAGCCAGCACCAGACATTGTTGCCTTACTGAATATACAACTGTAATTTAGAGAAAATCTGTTGACTTTCCTGTGACCCCAGATAAGTGCTTCAGGCATCTTATCTATCTAGGGTGTTAAAGAGGGAATGCCTGACTGTAGTATCAAGACCCAGTGGTCAAAAGGCTCGGTACTAAAGGATTAAGAATGGGAAAGTCAGTATAGAACAGCAGTTTGTCAAACTAGTTAAAAAATTTAAAAAAGAAATAAGAAAAAAACAAATAGAAACTATGTACTACATATAGCAGGTCAGATAGACAAATCCTAGTTATTTTTAGATGTTTCAAATAAAGATTAGAAAAAAAGACTGATCCACTAAAAATTGGAAACAGGTTAGGTATATAACTAATAATGACAAAAAAATGAGTTGTATTTTAAAGTATTTACTCTGTATTTACTAAAAACTTATTATACCCTCAATTGAACCAATCTTATGTAGGTGGTGAAGAGGACTAGTTGACAAGTTTAAATAAATGTAGAAATTAGAGCCAAAAAAGTCCCAAGGGCCTGATGAAGTGTTTGCCAGGGTTCTTAAAGGATGTAAAGAGCAGCTTGTTGAGCTCTCGTCTTGCATGTTAATAAATCATTACCATCTAGCAGGATACCAAGGGAGCCGGTCGGCCGAGCGGACAGCACGCGGGACTTGTGATCCTGTGGTCCTGGGTTTGATCCCAGGCGCCGGCGAGAAACAATGGGCAGAGTTTCTTTCACCCTATGCCCCTGTTACCTAGCAGTAAAATAGGTACCTGGGTGTTAGTCAGCTGTCACGGGCTGCTTCCTGGGGGTGGAGGCCTGGTCGAGGACCGGGCCGCGGGGACACTAAAAGCCCCGAAATCATCTCAAGATAACCAAAGTTGTGAAGATTTTTTAATGTGTTGATTTTAAAGGGCGATTCCATGCATCAAACTATCGGCCAATTAGTTTAACATCTATTGTGGGAAAATTGCTTGAATTAATTATTGTAAAAGCCATTTGTCTAGATCCTGAAAATCATAATTGATCGAAACATGGTTTTACGTAACCTCCACTCGTGTTATGACAAATTTGCTCAAATTCTGTTCCATCATATTTGAGGTAGTTAACACTTTTGTGCTCCGGGCATGAGCCCCCCAGACTTCCCGCTCATGCCCCTGGCATTACGGGCAATTGTGTGGTGACACTGAAATGTGTATACTCTTTCTGCTTTCTCACTTCCACGTTCGTTGTATGTGTTTCATTTTGGTATCAAAATGTTCGTAATAGAATTCCCCACAGGAGTATATGCATATAATGTCCAAAAGCCCGGCGTGCCACCCGCACCAAGCACAAAAATTGGGCGATCGTTAGCCGTGAGCACGAAACAGCGTTAAAATGTGTACATTCTTTTCAGTTTTCTTACCTCGGTTCTTGTGTTACCTCGTTTATTTTGGTATCAATGTGTTCGCAATAGAATTCTCTATAGGGACATATGCATATAAAGTCCAAAACCCTGGCGCACCCCACCCACAACAACGCCGAAAGTCGGCCAAGCGTTAACCGTTCCATTAGTGTACACCCATTGGCACACCCACAACACCCCTACAGAAATGTGTATACAGGGGCACCTCGGTTTACAAATTTAATCTGTTCCCGGAGACTGTTTGTAACCCGAAAATTTGTAAACCGAAGCTAATTTCCCCGTAAGAAATAATGGGAAATGAATTAATCCGTTCCTTGACTCCCCCCAAAAATTCACTTCAAAGTAAATTTTTATACCTAATTCACCCAAATCTTCACTACAAAAATATGTACAAGCTATTACCTTTACTGATGACTCCTGTTGGCATATAGAAGACGGGGAGGAGGAGAGGTGTTACTGTTTGGAAGGGAGTCCCTTGTTTGGAAGAGTCCCCTTTTGGAAGAGTCCCCTTCCATTATAACATCAGGCAGTGATGACTTCTCTGGGGGTACACACTATGGCACGTTTTGCCTGCATACCACTAGGACCTGCTTCTGGCTCACTGCATGATTTTCTCATTGTTTTTCTTGAAGATTGTTTTTCCCTTTGTAACACTTGTCTGTAGTGAGAATCACTTTGTCATTAATAAGATCAATGCAACAACCTGCTAAAGCTTTATCTGGGTGATTATTTTCAGCAAAACTTTGCAGTTCTTCCCATACTGCACACATTTTCTTAATGAGGAAGGGACATTCTCTACTGCCTCCTTCTCCTCCCCCCCTGAAGATTTGTTATACTGCCTAGCTAGTTGAACAACACGAGTACCATTTTCATGTTTACGAATGATCTCTTGTTTTTCCTCTGTGGTCATTCTCACATTGTTTTCTTGCCTTGAACCTTACCACTGGCTTTCTTGGGACCCATGGCAAGATATATAATGACAACTTTTATGTTCAAATAGCCAAAATTCCAAAAAGAAACTGTAAATCCTTGCAAAGAATTCAGGCGGGATAGTCACTAGGCGGGAGGCACTGGGAAACTGAGGCACGATCGCCGTACCATCACGCGCTAGGTCGGCCATACGCATATCCCGAGGTAAAGTTTGTAACCTGATTCGAATTTTCAGAAGAAATCAGGCTCGTAACCCGAAAAGTTTGTAAAGAGGGGCATTTTGTAAACCGAGGCACCACTGTACTCTTTTTTTCAGATTGATACCATCAATTTTCGTATTACGTTGTTCATTCTGGTATCATTGTTCGCAATAGACTGCTCTAAAGGGATATATACATATAAGGGCAAATGAAAGAACAACATTACCGATACCAATAAGATAAAGTATAAACCCCAATATCATATTTATAAAAAAAAAGTGTTTTTACTTACTACTCAATGATGTTTGTAGAGCATTTTGTTGAACCACTCCACCTGCTCCTGGAAAAGGTTTCCTGAAGTTTCACAACACACGTTTCATAGGTTGAGTGAATTGGTGGAAAGCATTACTGCTTATCCACCCAGTATGCCGTCTTGCGATAGTACAAGCTGGAGCACGGTGCAGCATACAGTGCCACACCACACGACTTGCATTTATACTTGGTGTCCTTCCTTTTTCCAGACTTGTAGCAAACAAGCTACAAACAAACAGCAAACAAAAATTTACCCTTTGCTTTGAGGTGCAGATGTTTGGGTGCACCACGCTGCAATCTGAGGAGTACCACATGTGTATACTCCTTGTTCAAGCAGCTTTCTGCGAGTCTTACAGAGTTCAGATGTTTGGGTGCACCACGCTGCAATCTGAGGAGTACCACATGTGTATACTCCTTGTTCAAGCAGCTTTCTGCGAGTCTTACAGAGTTCTAGTAGTTATCCATATATAAATGACAACCTTTGTTCTTCAGGGGTTCAATCAAGCCCATAACCATCTCGGTCATTGTTTTCCCAATTCCGGCATACTCTTCAAAATCATACATAAAACCAGTAGTGGATTCAGCAAGCATGCACAGCTTTACTCCATACTTAATAAGTTTATTTGGATTATAAACCTTGAAAGATGGTCAGCTATGCCATGACATTGTGCCTTCATAAAAATGAAAATTTTAATTAATATTTTAATTTGGAACGCGACCAGCATCCCCGCCGAACATCTGTGAGAAAAATTACGGACATGGACGGTGTCCCACTTGCGCAAAAGTGTTAATAGTGGGAAGTATTAAGCTTCATTTCTTGACTTTAAGAAATTTGTATAGAGTACGGCAATACCCGTCCCCCCCGTATTCCCCCTATGTCCGTATTCCCCTGGTAATATTTATGACGATGAGGATGACGCTAACCGCATTTATACCTGTACCATAAAACAGTAGTTTTTCCCATGGGTCAAGGTAAACACCATTACAATCACTGAAGGTTGTTATATCCTTACTTGCATTATACAGTACATGTAAAACCCTGACAATAATTGTGGGACGACCCCAATGTTTGCAATTATTCAATCACATTGACAAAATCACAGAATTAGAAGAAAAACAAGATGCTTATATATACATGGATTTTGTGAAGGCATCTGATAAGTGTGACCATGCATTTAATAAATGTGACTATGGAGTGATAGCCCATAAAATGAGATCAATAGGAATAATGGGGTAAAGTTATGTTAGGGTAACATTCACATCCCATCCTCCTAATTCGGCGATGCATTTTGATGCATACTTTACCTATCTTGAGGTTATCTTGAAATGATTTCGGGGCTTAGCATCCCCGCCGCACCGGTCCGCGACAAGGCCTACTTTTTGTTACACAACTCCCTAGGAAGCAGCCCGTAACAGCTGTCTAACTCCCTAATATCTATTTACTTCTAGGTAACAGGCATCAGGGGGAAAGAAATTCTGCCCATTTGTTTCCACCTTTGCCGGGGATAGATCCCTGGTCCACAGGACTACGAATCTATAGCGCTGACCACTCAGCCACAGGCCCCTAATTAAGGGCAAAAATTGTTGTACTAGAAAATGGTAGCGGCTCGCGAAATTCACATACTGTTCTGTTTTCTGTTTTGGGTCCTCTGGTAGGTTAGGAGAGGACAATTTAAAATTTAGTACAAGAATTTTTTGATGATGGGGAAACCTTATGAGGACGGGCTGAAGACAATAGTGCACAGGTTTACAGGGTCAGCTCAGGACACAACCTATGTTGGCTGTCAGCTGGACAAATAGTCCCTTATTTTAGCAGGAAAATATACTATGCATCATGTACATTGTTTTTAACAATTACTTGTTGTAATTTAATTGTTATATTTTGTTAATTGCATTGTTTTAAATGTATTGTAGTTTGTGTTATAAACAGAGGTCGCCACATGTCAGTTAGTAACCAAACTGCAAAATCCAGTAGTTTGGATTTCTGGCTGAATTTAGTTGTTTTAAGAAATTCAAATCTATTTTGGCCAGATTATCCAAAGAATGTTGTTAGCAGAATCTTAATGAGTTCTTATAGTAGTAGATGAGTACAGGTATGCATTTTCCAGATAAATATTTAGAAATGCTTGTATACAGCAAGTAGTAAACAATTTGAATAAGCTTGAACCATAGAGGGTAGACATCACCATCTCTTAACCGTTTCAAGAACAGGTTTAACAGCTGGAAAATCAGGTGGTATAATTGTGGCAGGTACAGTAGCTATATGGCTGGACTAATAGCTGGATCTTGCTCAGTAAACACAACTAGGTAAATACCTTCATTACAATTAATACCATTACCAACAACCACCACCATTGCTGCCAATATTATATGTACCATCACTATTGCTGCCATCACCACCATTTCTTCCACCATCCCACCCTGTTTTAATTTGCTTTCAGTAATTGCTCCAGATTTTCGTTATAGCACTAATTATTGCATATCCTACTCTCATTACTGCTCATTATATTTTATCTTCATAATGACAGAGTAGCCCTTGTTGATTGGCTACAATTTAAACCTAAGTTTTTAACTTTGTTCATACCTTTGCAGGAGTTCTAGCAGAGGATGGTCATGGAAACCCCATCACCGCAATGTGTCGGCCTTGAATTTGTGCGCCAGTACTACACGGTGCTCAACAAGGCCCCCATGCACCTTCATCGGTGAGTGGAACATAATTGGCATGTTTTGTTAACTCTTGCGCTGTGCACTCATTTCAAGAGGCATTCTCTGTATGCACACGAAAAAATTGCCTTTTATTGTTAAAATATCTACCCTGATCATCTGAATTTTTTTTTAAGAATTGTAAATTGGTTATTTTGGATGTGAAGCAATAGTCCCAATGACCGAGCACCGAGTGACGGAGCAGACTCTGCAGCCCGTCCTCCAAACAAAGACCCAAAAGTGATTCCATTCACCTGCCAAACCTCCTGTTTGTGAATGAAAAATGGTTTACACACGACTCGCAACTGATTTCGTTCAAACACTTCCGGAACAAGTGCTTCACTGACGAATTTTGTTTGAACCACAACGCTGTAAATGCTTCACTCACATACAACAAATACAAATAATCCCCAACAGAACCTAAACACCTAACCTAACCTATGCCTATATATGCACAATATGCTAATATATTTTAATATTAATCTTTATTTGAGAAAATTCCCATTTTGAATGAACAGCATGTTAAAATTTATGAATGCATCTCGGGTTGACCGCTGGATGTAATGGACTTGTCGAGGATTGGTTGGACTGTGCTTGGTGCTCAAAAGGGGGGATGCAGTGCACATTTATGATGTGTCTTCGTTTGAGCTAACTACACTCTCTGACCTGTTTTTATTTTGTCCAGTTATTTCAACTATATGTTAGCATTACTGACCAGGCATCTTGCCTACTATTCCCACCATTCTCCACCTTTCTAGAAGATACATAATTTGGGGGCTGGCCATCAAGATGCTGTAGTGCCACCTCTGCTTTGTCTAGGTTTTGTGGCTAATCACTAAACATCCTCTCTTCCTGTTATATTTCACTGAATATATATTGCATCCTCCCACTGTGACTTGAGGAAATGTGTGCTAAATACAATGGGAGCAAAAACCACTTGGTTATGTTCTTATGTTGGGTATAAGTAGGCCCTCCCTTATATGGGCCAATAAAGGCCTTCAGCAGTTTCCTTAAATCCTATGTTCTTACGGTCAGTACTCATATTAAGTAATATTTATTGATAATATCGATACAATTTTTGTGTTTTTGTGTAGTGAAGCAGGAAATGTATTTTTGAACACAAGTTTATTAATTTTTGTAGCTGAGAGGATTCAACCAAATGTCCAATCAAGACTACATATCCAGTCACGATTGGAACAGCTTATTGGACAAGGTCTATTCATTCCATAAAGGATTTAGTTTGACTTATCAGACCACCTCCCCCCCCCCCCCTCCTTTTCCAAGAAAAAAATTGACGGGCCTACATCCACTATATAATGTATATAAAGGTTTGTGACTTAACCAGGAGAGTAGTGTAGAGAAATAATAACCCTAAAGAACATTTAGGTAAGTACAAATTCAGCATAATCCATTTTAGTCTATTAAACAAGAAAATCACAATTTATTATGTATTGGTCATTTTGACTATAACATATGACAGCAATCATTGGTAACAATTCCATATCAGTCATAACTATGACAATTATTGGCGAGGCAAAAATTACATGATCATAATATTCAGCACTATGCAGTTCAGCACTGTGGAGAAATGCCCGACAGACCACTGGAACATTATCTAACACAGTGCACAGTTACAAACCCATTAAGATTTCAACTTAGATTCAACAGAGCAGAAGAAATTGTTAAACACATATGGCAAAATCTTACGGAAGCGACCACACGAGTCATAAATACTCATACTCCGCCCAAGCGACCATACGAGTCATAAATAATCATACTCCACCCAAGTAAAACAGAAACAAGCAACACTTAGTGGACCAGCCAGAGGCTTAGGGCCCGCGCAGGAATATCCCTGCAAAAAAAAAAAAAAAAAAGCACTGCATGCTCCATTAACCCGTGGGCTGCTCTTGTGATTTTAGCCTGCAACACTGCTAGGCACAAGAAAATAAAAAAATGAATTTTTTTTCTTACAAGATTGTTAAAATGTGTTTCCTGATCACAGGAAAAATAAAAAAAATCGTAGGTGACATTTTGGCCGCAATAGGGCAAAGAAGTCTGGCAAAATTGAGGCGTTGACAGAGTAGGCGTCCCGGGGCAGTCTGCTCCACTCGCGCTGTCGGGTGGGAGTTGCCATAAAGATACTATTACCTAATTATTTCAATGTCTTTTCTTTTTTTGCCAGTAATATTGTTTAATAGTGTTGTGTGATATATTTATATAATAAAATGTGTGAAACATTGCTATACTCAAAAGTATGGTGTGCATATTAGTGATTCAATTATTATGTTCATAAAACAATAAACAAATATTTTTGCTGTTACACTATATACACACATTATATATAAGTATCTGCATGTTTTGTTCACTATAGTGAACCACTAAGTTCGTATGGTGAGTCCAAACAAGAGGGGTCGCCACACACCAGCCAGCAGACACCACCTCCCTCCCTTCTTCAACACATCACTCGACAACATTCCTCCTCCCAACATACTGCTGTTGCTACACTATACACTTATATAAGTATCTACATGTTTTGTTCACCATAACTGTACAACTAAGCTGGTATGGTGTCCAAACAACACAGTAGCCACAAAAAACTGCATGACAAGTGACACAGCAGCTAGCAGACGACAGCGTGTCACTCCCTCCCTCACCAAAATAGCTCCTCCCACTTTATTGTTTGTGCTGTTATTACACTATATACACACACACATTATATATAAGTATCTACATTTATGTTCACCATAGCGAACCACTAAGCTGGTATGGCAAGTCCCGACAATAGTAGAGGTCGCCACACAGTCAGCTGACGCTCACTCGCTCACCAACATTCCTCCTCCCATCATACTGTTTGTGCTGTTATTACACTGTATACACATGTTATATATGAGTATCTACATGTTTTTTCATGATAACTGTACACATAAGCTAGTATGGTGTCCAAACAGCAATGGCATCCATACATTGCATAACAAGTCACACACCAACCAGCAGATGATGCTACCTCCCTCACCAAAATGGCTTCTCCCAACATACTCCTTTTACTGTTATTAAACTATATATAAGAATCTACATTTGTGTTCACAATAGCGAACCACTAAGCTGGTATGGTGAGTTCAAACGAGTGGCTGCCACACCAGCCAGCTAACGCTACCTCCCTCCCTCCTTCCCCTCCTCACCAAGATTCCTCCTCCCACCATACTACGCATATTGTATTATCACCACAAATCTGCTAATATCAGAATCCTGGTCACTAAATCTTGTAAATGATTAATTTTCCACAAATTCATTTTGTAAAGGAACATGAGAAGTCGTTTCAAGATTCTTAAATGGACCAAACAATGGCAGTGTGCTGTGGCTAGCACTGTGAACATCTTGAAAAGCATTGTGTTCACTGATATCTGAACATTGTACACAGTCTTTATATCACAGTCAGGCTCTTCTGTAATACAGTTCTATCATGGCTAAATAATACCAGTTACATTTATATTTTGACTTTTTAGGTAATGCTGTGGTCACAAGCTGAACAGCAGTACTGTTAGCTCATGCTGCGTGGGCCAGCCTTGTTAATCACTCAGTACTGAGGCTCTTACACCCGGGAATGTGGACCTCGATTTTTTTTAAAGATGGCGTCTGTTTACAAGAGCCCTGAGGAAACTGATGTGAACCCCATGTGAATGGGGTTGAAACATGAAAAATGGGGAAACGTGAAAAATACAAATACCTGGAGGCGCGTAGCGCACCCCAGACGTGGCCCTGCAGGCGCGCTACGCAGTTAAAGGGTTAAGGATGCCCCTATCCATCCGAGGTTCTGGGATTGGTTCGGTTTTGTGGTGGGACGGCAAACTTACCGCTTCCGTTCCTTCCTTTCAGGCTGAATACGGCACCTCGTTTTTTTACGTAGTTTGACTTTAGTTATGGTGGCCCATCTTCGCCTGCTAGGTCTTTGGGTCTTTGCATGGGATACTCATGCTGCTTGCACCAGCCTTGGTTGATCACTCGGTACTGAGGTTCTCACACCTGGGAATGTTGCTCACAATTTTTTTTTACTTAATGTTTTCTGTTTACAAGAGTCCTGAGGAAGCTGGTGTGAACGCCGTGTAGTCGCAGGAGTTTTGAATCCTACGCCATACAATACCTACAAGCACCCTGAGGCGCTCTGCGTACCCCTGATCTAGCGCCTCGGTGCTCTGTGCAGTGCAGTGCAGTGTTTAACACAGCTCGGGTTGTGATGCACTGATAACACTTTCATGCTCTCCTCGAACAGGACCAAAACTTGCTCGAAGTGGAATCACCGTTTCAGGCGATCGAGCGGCAACACGAAAAGTGTATACTCTTTTCACTGTGCTGACCTTAATTTTCGATGTACATATTTAATTTTTGTACCAATGTGTTCGCAATAGAATGTTCTAGAAGAACATGTGTATAAAATGTCACCAAACCGTGATTTAAACCACCAAATAAAGGAACTATGTGGATCACTAGCCGTGAGCTCCAAACACCGACGATATGTTTCCATTCTTTTCAGGGTTGTCAACTCCACGCTTGTCCTACAGCGTTAAATTTGTTATCTCTGAGATCGCAATAAAATTCCCTACACGGACATATGCATATAAATGTAGAATCATGATCGCGGCCCACCCGCAAGAGTGTGGGAAGTGGGCGAAGTGTTACCCGTTACTGCACATTGGCGAAACCAGTATTGAAAAGTGAATATTCTTTTCACTGTCCTGACCTTAATTTTCTATGTACGTATTTCATTTTTGTACCAATGTGTTCGCAATAGAATGTTCTAGAAGAACATATGTATAAAATATCACACAAGGATGCCTTGTGTGACATTTGGGGACAGGGTTGGGGAGCCGGTCAGCCAGGCGGACAGCACGCTGGACTTGTGATCCTGTGGTCCTGGGTTTGATCCCAGGCGCCGGCGAGAAACAATGGGCAGAGTTTCTTTCACCCTATGCCCCTGTTACCTAGCAGTAAAATAGATACCTGGGTGTTAGTCAGCTGTCACGGGCTGCTTCCTGGGGGTGGAGGCCTGGTCGAGGACCGGGCACACTAAAGCCCCGAAATCATCTCAAGATAACCTCAAGGTGCGTTAGACCGGCACCAAATAAAGAAACTTCATCAATTACACTTGTCGTGTCAACAATACAATAGTTTTATCAAGAAGATACAAGACAATGCCGTTCTCCCAAATAGGTTATGTGGCTATTAGAGAAAACGTAAATTTTATGGCAAACGTGTTCATACTATCCCGAAGTTCATCAGATAAGAATTGAATTTTATAGAAATATTTGTTCGTCAGACTTAAAAATAGGTTAACTGCAGATTTTCAAGTGACCCCCGGCGGACCTAATTTTGGGTTCGCTGGGGAGGAAAGTGTTTTTAAGCTTTGTTTAGTGGTGTTACTACACGAAAAAAAGATTAACTCATGTTAGTGATATGTTTCAGGTATGTGAATTAACTGGGGTAAAATCTTCAATTTCTGCATTTAAATATTTTTAAAGACATTTAAAGCAGTTTTATGTGGTTCACTCCCACCTCAACGCAAAGGATCAATGCATGAATGTTCATAATAAGACAAATAGGACACTGGGATTTATTAATTGAAGCGTTAGCAACAAGACACCTGGTGTTGTTCCTCGGCTATATCTAGCTCTGGTTAGGCCATATTTAGAGTATGCAGTTCAGTTTTGGTCGCCATACTATAGAATGGATATAAATTCACTTGAACGTGTCTAGCGTAGGATGACTAAGCTAATTCCCCAAATTAGAAATCTTTCATATGAAGAAAGATTAACAAAGCTTAAGTTGCATTCACTGGAAAGGTAAAGAGTTGGGAGTAACATGATAGAGGTTTACAAGTGGATGAATGGACATAACCGGGGGGATATTAATAATTAAGATGTGTTGGGTTAATGTACCAGCTGTATTAAAGTTATTATATTTACTTTTACAGTAATTCTTTTTCAGTAGTGTCTGGATTGCCATTTTGGAAATACCCGTTTTTCTTAATGAGCAATCTTGGCGGATTAGATATAGCTATCTTAACATTCTTTACCTTGTATTGTTTTTTGTAGTACTGTGATATTTTCTTGATACTCTTCTTTTAATTGCAGGTTTTTCAGTAACAATTCGTCATTCATGCATGGGGGCCACAATTCCATGAGTGAACCAATTATTGGCCAAACAGACATACATGAGATGATCAAGACACTAAATTTCCGTGACTGTCGGGCCAAGATACGAATGGTTGATGCTCAAGCTACACTTGGTGATGGAGTAGTTATTCAGGTATTTTTTTATATACTAGTTTTGGATGGAATAACAATTGAAGGTAAGGTGGTGGTCGTAACACTAGCACGAAATGCCAAATTTTGAATTGTCAATAATTGGCTTGCTAGTGGTTCAAGATAACCTCATCCATAGTAAGCCATAGCATGTTTTTCATGGGTCTAGGTTAACTCCATTACATCCACATACATGTATTATAATATTTGCACAGTGGTTAATATTAACCACTGCATCATTTGTATAAAAACAGGGTGATAACTAAAACATGACTACTGCATTACCCAAAGGATCAACTTATGATAACTACTCTTTAACCCTTAAACTGCACAACACATCATATGATGTGTTGAGTAACTTGCAATAACTTGCGCACCACATCATATGACGTTTTGGAGTACTGCGCAAGATTTGAACGGCCTGCGGGGTAGAGGGGGGGCTCCCATACGCTGCCCAGGGGCTATAGTAAAGAGTCGCCATTTTGTAAAAAAATTCAGCTCATGCTACCATTGCATGGGAGGCCTCAGTTACCCAGCGGTCACCATGGCGAACGCACGGCCAAACACTTCCCGGGCACGCACTACGCAATCACTTACCCAAGAGCAAATAACCAGTGAATTATTTTCTGATGGTGAGGAAAGTGATTTTGATGACTCTGACAATGATAGGGACTAACTACACACAATTGACCGATGATAGTAGCACGGACAGTGAAAATGAGATACAGCCGCCTCCCATGGCGAGGCCTACACGCTCACCCATGCCACCTCGCCCAGTGTCTACTCCAATTCACCCTCGGCCACACAGTTCCTGTGCTTATTTAAGAGTCTGAGGATATTTTGGGTGACGAGTCAGAGGAAAGTGACTCTTTTTCTGGTTTTAGTGACGTGGAATCAAAACGTGTTACCGAGCCTGGTGCTAGTACCAGTGGTGTTACCGGGCGAGATTTTGTCGCGTCAGCAGCGTCTCGCCCAGCTAAGCGCCACTGCATGGAACATGAGGAACAAAGACCCTCATGTTCACGTGCTTCCACCTCATGTGCACGTAGCAGCCGTACTGTGCGTAGACGGGCTTCAGCTCCTGGTCCAAGGTGTGCATCGCTTCCTCGCCATTGAGCCCCTGTTGCGTCTCGCAGGACACCAGGTGTGCTTGTGTGGAGTGATTGTGCTGGTTTTATTCCTCGAATTCCTGCCTTTGACAATAAAGACGTTGACATTACAGAGCTTTTCCCTGATAATGGAGAGAACATGTGCGAATTGGATTATTTTACAGCATTCTATGATGAGCCGCTCATGGAATGTATTGTACACCAAAGGAACCTTCATGTGGCTCATCTCATTGGAAAAGAGAGACCAGAATTTTCACGATTGCAGCATTGGAAAACCACCACTGTAGGTGAAAAGTATGTATTTTTAGCAATATGTATGTTGATGAAGCACTGTGTCAAACTCGCAATCACAGATTATTGGAGCAAAGATCTGACTATTCCAACACCTTTCTTTGGGAAATATATGTCCCGAGACAGGTTTCAGATACTCCAGGTGTCTGCATTTTGTAAATAATGAGGACCGGACAGAGGATGATAGACTTTGGCAAGTGAGGCACTATATGAATGAAGTGATTGGAAAGTTCAGAGATTTTTACGTACCAGCACAGAAGCTGGTGATTGACAAATCCCTTGTGCTTTTCAAAGGATGTGTTTCATTCAAGCAGTATATTCCCTCCAAACGAAACAGATTTGGCTTGAAATTCTTTGTGACTGAAACAGGATACGTGTTACACGTGATTCTGTATTCAGCTAGCGATGTAGACATTCCCGGTAACGACAAACATGGTTTCTCGGTAGTGTGGGTGAAAGATAACTACTATACAAGTCCATTGCTAGCTAGGTTCTTGATTGAAAATAGAACCGGATTGGTTGGGACAGTAAAGCCACGAAGAAGGGAAATGCCAGTGCTTGACAGTAGACTTGCAGTTAGTGACTGCCAGCTACGAAAATGTGATCAAATACTCTCGGTTCGGGGGAAAGACAAGAGAGAAGTGAACATGCTGATAACCGTTCATGATGGTACAATGGTGAACAGGTGAACAGTGGCAAGGTGAACCATGTAACGAAAGAACCAGTTTATAAGCCAGATTGTGTTCTTGACTATAATATCATGTGTTTAGTTGATAAATCTGGCATGATGGTGGGCACTGTCGAATGTGTGCGGAAAACATTGAAATGGACGAAAAGTGTTTTTCCATCTTGTTGACATAAGCAGCCTGAACTGCTGTAATATGTATCTGGTGAAAACTGTACGTAAACCAAGTTTCCGTTTGTTTGCTTTTACACTTGGGACAAAGTTATTAGCAAAGTTTGGTAAAGATGTCCCTGGCATACAAAGACCCATCATGAACCTAGTGTTCCAGCATGCTGCTACACCCAGGCTCGCTCACATGGAGGCCTTGCAAGCACACAGACTAAAACATTTGCCACCAGCTGGGAAGCGTGCAATAGGCCAACGTGACTGCTTAGTTTGTAGAACAACAAAAAGGAGAGATCAGAAATGTAAGCTGGTGCAAATATGGCGTGAAGCGTGTGCAGTTTCATTATGTACTGTCGACTGCTTCAGTGAGTACCACTCTCTCCAAGACTTCTAAAAGTACAGTACTAGTGCAAAAACCTGTGCATAGTGCTTGTGTGTAAATATAATAATGAACATTGTTATCTTGAGGTTATCTTGAGATGATTTCGGGGCTTTAGTGTCCCCGCGGCCCGGTCCTCGACCAGGCCTCCACCCCCAGGAAGCAGCCCGTGACAGCTGACTAACTCCCAGGTACCTATTTACTGCTAGGTAACAGGGGCATTCAGGATGAAAGAAACTTTGCCCATTTGTTTCTGCCTCGTGCGGGAATCGAACCCGCGCCACAGAATTACGAGTCCTGCGCACTATCCACCAGGCTACGAGGCCGAGGAGGAATTGTGATTAAATAATATATTGGCATAATGGAAAACATTTGTGTGCGCATGTGTATACTTGATGTATGCAACATTTATTGACATTGACCATGATGTAACATTATATGCAACACAATTAGTGACTAATATTACTGATAAAATACGCCTAGACACTGTAAATAATGATGCGAAAATAAATTTGTGGCAACTGTGGCTGCTTGAAGACCACGCGCGACGCCTCCGGGGCGCACCTTGCATGAGCGTTCGTGCAGGGTGTGATGTCATCTCCCATATTGTCGGCTCAATTACGTCGTCGGCAAGTACAATTGATTTTTTTTTATTTTTCTCGTGGTCAGGGAACACGACTTAACAGGTTAGGAAGAAATTTTTTCTGGTATGCACCTGAGTGAGACAAATACTAATTAGCCCTGAGCAACACAAGTGTTAACCACTGCACTGCTCTGCCCCCAAATATGGCTATCCTCTGGCATGCAGGAAATAAATTGTTAGCAAAAATTTTGTTAGACTTCTAAAATTGTTAAATACCCTTCCCTGATCATCACATATGTTGAAATAAAATAAAAAAAATACCTACTTTGGCCGCAGTGGGGTCCAGAAAATGGCATGTGACGTCACGGTTTGGTGGTCACCAGTAGCATAGACTCCCGGAGTCAGTTGTGCGCCAGCTTCAACTTGGCGCGAGTTGCCACGAATATTTTTTCACCATTTCTTTCTGCACAATTGCAAATTCATTTTTATTGTTTTTTCTTGCTAATCCTATGTATATTGAACACGTTAACAATATTCTGGCAGTAGAACATCCGTACTATTCCAAGACACTGTGTTATATGCATCACAAATGTGTCCACAAACACATTTGTTTGTGGACAAACTTGGCATATAACCAAGCTTGTGTACACCGAGCCTCTCGTTACCCGAGTCTGTCAGGAACTGGGTGTGGTGTTGCTGGCACCCCGTGCGTTGCAACAGAGCCCTCCTTCCCAAACTTACGAGAAGTTGTGACACTAGAGGAGCACTGAATGTACATATTGGGGGTCTCTTGCCTGATTTCACGAGATACATATTGAAACGGTTCAGCACTGCAACGTCAATGAGGCGGAAAAATAATTTCTTCGTCCACTTCACAGATTTCCGCACGCACTCAATGTCAACAAGCATCATGTCGCATTTATCAACTAGCTGCATGTTTATGCTGTAGTCAAGGACACAATCAGGTTTATATCTTGGGAACCATGTTGCAAAGTGCACTTTGCCAATGTGCAACATGGCACCGGTGTGAATTGTTGTCAACACATTCACCTCGCGTCTGTCCCTCCGGTGCACTGATAAGATTTTGCCACACTTTTGCAGCTGGCGATCACCCACTGCAATACCAATGCCAAACACTGGCATTTCTCTCCGGACCTCCACAGTGTCACATACACCAGTGTTGTGGTCAAAATGGAATCTGTTCAGTAAGGGGCTTGTATAGTAGTTGTCCGTGAACAGGATATGCTCCTTGTTCAGCAACGGTTCCATCAGTGTTTTCACGACTGCCGGAGAACCCATGTGGATCTTGACCTGGTATGTCAAGGTCTGTTCCTGAATACAGTATCATGCCCATGACAATACCAGTTTCAGTCACATAGCACGAATAGAGTCCAAACCGGTGCCTCTTTGATGGATGCTTGAACGTCGGTCATAACTTGAAGAGGACTAGCGATTCATCATTCACCACATTCTGTCCTGGTACAAAATAACGGAACTTTCCTCGCATATCACTAAAAATCTTCCGCACCTTCCACAGTCTGTCGTGTCTGTCTTCATTATCATTGTTCTCAAAGTGCAGGCACCTGAGAAGCAGCAGGAACCTATCACATGATATGTACCTGTTAAACACTGGGGATGAAACAAGGCTGTCTTTGCTCCAATAATTCTAGAGCACATGTTTTTCCAGAATGTTTCTTCATCATGCACAACGCTAAAAACACATACATTTCCTCAGTTGCCGTGTCTTTCCATCGTGTCATGCATGAGGCAGGTAAAATGCCAAGAGTCAATGAGGCTGTGAGCATATCTGTTCGTCTGCAACGAGATGGTCCATGAATTCCTTGTCAAAATACAGTATGCCATAAAATAGTCAATTTCAGTCATATCATCACCTGTATAGGGGAATAACAGTGTCAGAGCAACATTGGTATTATCAAATGTTGGAATTTGTGGGACAACAAAAGTCTCATAATCCTCCCACAAGAGCAACCATGGTTTTGGTTTTCAACACCATGGCCATCACCACCACGAGAACCAAAAATACAGCTCTGTCGTCTTGTGCTAGAGCTGCGTATAGGTATGCCAGGAGATAAGTGTGTTCTGCATAGTGTAGGCCTACCACAAACACCTGATGTCGAGGGAACACTGTTATCATTGTCCTCTGGCTGCGTGACACACTGCCGCTTGCTTCGGCATGTTGTTGGGGCAGCAAAACCCCGCCTAGTAACACCATCGCTGCTCGTACTCGGTTCGTCAACACTGCTTATATTGGAGCCTGTCACTGAAGCCCGAGAATGATTCATCTCAAGTACTATCGCTAATTAATTCACATTAGAGGACACGCATGGCGATGGTGACTAGCAGTGCTGACCCAGGGTGGCGAGGCAGGCACGTGTTCTGTACACACTCGCGACCTACTCCACCTCATTCTCCCTCTCACTCGTGTCAGACCTCTGTGTTGGGTATTTCTCTGGATTGTAGTCTAAATCATCATCCATCACTCCATCATACACCATGTCGCGTATTTCGTTCTCAGAGAGTCGTTTTCCTCGACTGCGGCTGACCATTTACCAGGAGCTCGTAGACGATGCGTCAGATGTGGTTGCTTCCTTGAAACACGGGCTTCCCACGGCCCTGGATCATGCTGGGATTTTTTTTCAAAATGGCGGACGATCACTGGGGCCCTCAGGCATCCCATTTCGAACCCTTGTTATCGCAAGGGTTTGTCACCGCCAGTTTTGAATAGTACGCTATACCTCAGAGATCCCTGAGGCGTGTTGTGCACCATCCGTTGAGCGCCTCAAGGCTCATTGTGCAGTGCGGTGGTTTAGGGTTAATAGGTGAAGCTTAGTTTTAAAATATTCAGAATTTAGTTTGATTTTGGGGAAATGCCTTGGATAGGTCCCCTTTGATACCATCCTTGATGGGCTGCACTCATGTCTATTTTTAGTGTAATTTTGTTATTTGTCATTTTAATGATTTTCTTCTAGGTGACAGGAGAGTTGTCTAACAATGGTAATCCCATGCGACGGTTCATGCAGACCTTTGTGTTGGCTCCACAAACCCCCAAGAAGTACTATGTACACAATGACATCTTCCGCTATCAAGACGAGGTTAGTAATATAATAGTGAAAATTTGTAATTTAACCACTGGGCGGCACTGCTAATAATAGCCAACATAACCACTGTGTGCAAGGTGATTTTGGGGGAGGGGGTTGTGCGAGCTAGGAGTAGTTCTTCAGTACTCGGGCTGCATGCACCTAGGGTTACCTTCCCTAGGTGCTCGGTAAGTACTAAATAGTAAGTACTAAAGAGGCAGTTTGCACCGGTAGGGGCACTGGGTACTGCGCAGCTAGTTTTCACCTATCATAGCGGCCGGCTTTGTTCCGTCTGGGTACGCTGTCCTCTTGTGGATTTTTTTTATTCTTTTTGTTTTCCTGCCTAGTGGGGGCTCTGCCTTTGGTTGTCGCATCCCCCCCTGCTTCCGGCTCCGAAATGTCTGAGGGGTTTGGGGTTGGGGTAGGGTTTAGATGGTTTGAGACGCAGGTAGTCTCAGGGGATGCCCCTTCCGGGGTAGCAACAGAGGCATTCAAGTCATTTCTCCCTGCTGAAGCATCTAAATCTGACCAGTGGGTCTCCTTTCTTCCGGCTTCTACGGCTGCGCCGGCCTTTTTCTTTTGAGGCCAGTGCTTTGTGAGATAACTCTGCCTGGGGTCCTGATGTGGTGGTTCCTGGGGCAGGGGAGGGGCTGACTTGGGGAACTTTGGCTCCGTTGGACCCCGCCTGGGGTTTTCTACCCTCTGAGCGGGGCTTACTGTTACAACCAATGTTTTTTTTTCCATCCTGTTTGTAAGAATTGGATTTGGTTTCTACCCCTCCCCGAGTTCGATTCTGTGTCCCTTCGGGTGCTTCAGTCCCGTCTTTCCGGAGGTTCTCGGCTTCCTCACATCCCGCCTCATGTGGTGCAGGAGGCCTTTGTGTCTTACCTCCTGCGCGACCTAGATTATGCCTCATGGATCCGTCTATATTCAGGTTTGGGTTTCCATTTCCCTACTGCATTCGTTATGAGGTTCCGGAGTCATCCTGGCTGGCAGACTGTCCTGTTTTTGCTTTGGAGGCATGGCATACTCTGTCGTTCTCACACCCTTGAGTGGTGTAAGTCATTGATAGTGGTCCAGGTTTTCCTGGGGGGGGGGGGGGCGAATTTGAGCAGCTCAATGAGTGCTTGTTCGCCCCTGCCCTTCCTCGGGATGTGGGCGTCGTGCAGCTTCACGTGCAGATTCCTTCCCTTTCAGCTGCACTGGTTGCTGAGGACTTGCACGCTCGTGGCCTGCTGGCTTTGTTTTTGCTTTTTTGCTTTTCTTTTCCCTCATGGAGCTGTCTGTGGACTGGCTTGAGGAGGATATGGAGCTGCTTGGAGCTGTTCCTGGGTCTGGTGCCTTGGGATCGGCGGCATGTGCGTTGTCTGCCTTGTTGAAGCTGTTTGTGCCAATCCTACAGGATGTGGTGTCGCTGTTTTATGCCTCCCGGCTTGCATGTCAGCAGGCGGTGCTTGCTTCCTCCTTGGAATCAGCTTGGGCCCCTGGCTCTTAGATTGTCTTTGTCCTATTTCCCTTGCTGTTTGCTGATTCTGCAGTGGGGCAGCATCTGCAGGCAACTCCTGCTAGCTGTTGTCCGATGTCCGACTTGCTCGTCCCACGGAGGTTCCGGGGGGAGGGCCTTCCCGGAGGGGTTGTGCCAGGGAGAGGGGTTCCACTTGTCGTGGTAGGCCACTGGTGCCAGTTTCGGTGCCTGCGCCACATTCAGACTCGTCATCGTATGGTCGGCGCGGTGTTCACGCTGTGCGAAGCTCGGGTTCTTTTAAGGGGCGTTGGCCCTTTCGCGGTTCGTCCTGTTGACGGGGTCATTGGGGGTAGCTTTGCTCTGTTCGCTCATGCTTGGTCTCACAATTTGTGGGTCTGCGGGTCATTTCCAATGGCCTGTGGTGGTGTTGGGTGACCCCGCCTCCTATGGGGGGGCTCGGGGCTCGCAGAGCCCTGAGCCAACAACAGACGTTGTATACACAGACTTTGCAAAGGCATTCGGCAGATGTGACCATGGAGTGATTGCACACAAAATAAGATCAATGGGTATAACTGGTAAAGTAGGACGCTGGATACTCTTTTCATGTTGAACAGAACACAAAGAGTAACAGTCAATCAAATAAAATTGAGTCCGAGTGCAGTTAAAGGATCTGTACTTCTAGGTACAGTTCTTTCACCACTGCTGTTCCTTATTCTCATATCGGATATAGACATAATTACCAGTCACAGCTTCGTGTCATTCTTTGCAGATGATACAAAAATCAGCATGAAAATTACCTCTGCTGAAGACATTGAAAAACTACAAACAAACATTAACAAAGTTTTCGATTGGGCAGCAGAAAATAACATGATGTTTCACAGTGATAAATTCCAGGAACTCAGATACGGCAAAAATGAGGATCTTAAACATAATACAGGGTACAAAACACAATCGAATCTGCCCATAGTAGGAAAACTGCATGTCAAGGATTTGGGAATATTGTCCAAGGAATGTTGTCCGACGACCTAATGTTTAGGGAGCATAACCAAGCAAGTATTGCATCAGCCAGAAAAATGATAGGATGGATTATGAGAACCTTCAAGTCCAGAGATCCCATCACCATGGTTGTACTCTTCAAATCACTAGTGTTGTCCCGTCTTGAGTACTGCTCAGTACTCACTTCCCCCTTCAGAGCAGGAGAGATTGCTGAAATAGAGCGAATACAGAGAACATATGCGGCATGCATAGACAAGATAAAGCACCTAAATTATTGGGATTGTCTCAAAGCTTTCCAAATGTACTCACTAGAAAGGAGATGAGAGAGATACCAAATAATATACACATGGAAAATACTGGAGGGACAGGTCCCAAATCTGCACAGTAAAATAACAACATACTGGAGTGAACGATATGGAAGAAAATGCAGAATAGAACCAGTGAAGAGCAGGGGTGCTATAGGCACAATCGGAGAACACTGTATAAACATCAGAGGTCCGCGGTTGTTCAATATCCTTCCAGCGAGCATAAGAAATATTGCCAGAACAACCGTGGACATCTTCAAGAGAAAACTAAATTGTTTTCTTCAAGGAATGCCGGACCAACTGGGTTGTGGCGAGTATGTGGACCTGCGGGCCGCTCCAAGCAACAGCCTGGTGGACCAAACTCACAAGTCAAGCCTTTTCTCGGGCCGGGCTTGGGGAGTGGAATAACTCCCAGAATCCCATCAAGCAGGTATTAAGCAGGGCAGGCCTCTTCTCCTGCGCTGTCAGGTCATCTCGAGTGGGTGTGCTTTGGCGTGGTCGAAAGGACGACACTGGGTTTCCCGTCTGTTCCCAGTCCTGTCTGAACCTCTGGGTTCATTGCCCCTCCTTTTGGATGGCTACTGTCCCAGGTCCAGCATCTATTGGAGCCGAACACTTGGATGGTGTCCCTGGACCTCCGGGACACACATTGGCACGTTCTAATGCATCCATTCATTCAGGGACTGGGTCGGTTTTCTTGTGGGACGTATCGCTTACCGCTTTAATTGTCTCCCGTTTGGGTTGAACTTGGCACCTCGCATTTTCAAGCGCCTTACCCGGGTCGTTTTTGTCTCTGGGCTGGGGCTTTGTGACCAGTGCTCACCAGGCCGGCCAGAAGCGATGGGGTTCGTCGTTCCGTCGAGCCCACAGCACAGTGTGGGAGTTCGCGGCGATGTGGCATTCCCTTCGGAGGGTTTGGGTCCCCGTGGATAGACGATCCGGCTCCATTCGGACTGCTTCCCGGTGGCTCATTGTCTGAACTGCTAGGGTTTGATGCAGTCCTTCGCTCTGGGGCTGGTTGCTTTGGGTGACTGCTGAGTTCTTAGGGTTTTGCTCTCCTGGCAGTTCACGTTCGGGGGGTGTCCAATATTGTGGCGGATGTTCTGTCTCGGTTCGTTTCCCTGTCCTCAGAATGGACGTTCTTCGCAGACTCCTTCAGTTAGTTCTGCCAGATGTTTGGGTGCCCGGAGGTGGACCTCTTCGCGTCGGCGTGGTCATGGCATCTTCGGTATATGTGGCACCCTTTCCAGATTGCGAGGCTGTCGAGGTAGATGCCTTTCGCCAGGGGGGGTTCCTGTACCTCTTTTCCCCAGTTTCGCTGTTGCTCCAGGTCCTGGCTTGTTTGGAGACTTAACAGGGGGGAGTCATCCTCTTGGTCCCATGGGGGCCGGCCCAGCCTTGGTTTCAGGTGCTGCATGCTCGGTGTTTGAACCCGAAGGTTTTTCCGCGGCTCCACCTCGTTGAGCAGATTGGTCCGGTCCGTCACGTGCCTGGTTCGATCCTCTCCTAGAGTCTTCGCATCTGGTCTTTTTGACTCAACATCGATCACCATTTGTATGGTGATCAGGTGGCTTAGCTAACCCCTAAACCGCACAAAACGTCATATGAAGTGTGATCTTGAGCTCAGTTTTTTAAGCTTTCTGAAACTCACTCAAATGTTTTGTGCATAATCTACTAGGCAAATACCCCAACTTTGTCTAAATGATACCAGTGTAACTTGAAAAACAAGAAAATAAAAAATAATTATAAAATTAAATATTAAGAACTTCAGATTTTGAAAACGGCTGCAAAAATATAAAAATATCACCAACTGTTCATTTGGTGTTATTATGCTCTCAGAATACCATATGATCTTTATTTTCATATATTTATAATATAGGTTTTCAGTATAGTTTACTGTAAAAAAAAATTGTCAATATGGCATTTGAAATATGCGCAAATTTAGACAACAAAAATTTATAACTCCAAACATTTAGAGTTTATGAAAATCACTTCTATAGGGATTGTAGAATGACAGCTGTGCACACTTATATGTAAAAATGGTGAGAATCAGTCAGAAACTAGATTTTTGGATACTGAAGTAAGTTGAAATTCTAGTTATAGATATAATTGAAGTTGAAGTTTACGACAATGAATAAGGCAGTTCTAAATCATGAATTTACTTGTATGTTGTAATAAACATTGTTTGGCATTCGTACTCAAGTATGTGAAAGTTGTAGGTCAATATGTGTTGAAATGATGTCAAGAAAAAAAATCCCCCCCCCCCCTCCCCCCCTTTTTTTTACGTGCAGTCAGGTGTGTAAGTTTTATGCAAATCGTCCGAAAAAAAAAGAAAAATTTTTTTGGAAAAAAATCAATTTTTTTTAACTTAAATTTTTTTCCAATTAAACTAATTATAATATTTGTTTAATATATGCTATTGTGATAGCAAAGAGTTATAGCTATGATTTCAGTTGACACTTGTTTGATAATCGTTTTTGACCATTTTGGCATAATTTTCACACCTACTTCAATATTTTTTTCTCCCTTCCTATTTATGCTACGATGCTGAAACTTGGACCAGATGAAACACTTTTCATTTAGAACTTGTCAAAAAAGTTTGATTGAAATGGAACGAGTTTTCATTTATTGCATTTTTGGAACCAAACTCCTCCTTAAGGCTAGCCAGCTTGCGGTCTATCCCCGTGCCCATGACGTTCATAAGTTCGTTGCTCTTGTTGCTGTCTTTTGCAACGTGTCGTGGGCTGACATTCGGACGCAAGGCTTTTGCCGGTCGAACAGGGGCCCTGGCTGCTCGTTACCATGTGAACATTACTGGGCCCAGTCGTGCCTGTGTCGCTTTGGGTCGGCGGTTGCAGCCAGTTGTCTCGACTTTGAGATGAGTGAGCAGCGACCGCCTCCCGGGTAAGTCCCTAAGTTGTTTTTTTTCCCTCTGTGGGGTAGTTAGCTCCGGGGAGCCGAAGGGGCTCCCCTCTTCCCCAGAAAATCAGCGTTGAATGTAATAAAACGCTATTTTCTGGGTGAGACCTGGAGCCTCCCCAGCATCCCTCCCTCTGGTCGGCAATTTTTTTGCGTGTTTTTGACATCCAGCCTAAGAACTAAGGGTGGATAACCGGTGTGAGGGGTCTGGGGTTTCCCCTTCCGGGGAGGGGGGGGGGAGCTATGCAGACAGCGGCGTGGCGACGTGTGATATCATGATTGTTTGCTCGTTGCTTTTAGGGGAATTCTATCCACTTGTTCGGCTTTTGGTAGCAATAATTTCACCAGAATAGGGGTTTGTTTTGGGATGCTTTCCTTTCTGTGTGCCTGACCCGGTCGATGGCAGACATAGAATGCTTCCAACCACACGGGGGTTTCTATAAGCTATTGCTCCCCTTGCCTCTTCTGAGGGGGGCAAGGTTCTGGCTCGTGGTCCTCGGTAGGCCCATAAGAACTCCATACACATGACTGATGCCAAAGTCTGACATTAGCACATCAGCCTAGTAAGCTCCGGGGAGCCTCCGGGTACTCGCCCAGAAAATGGCGTTTCATCACATTCAAAGCTTTTTTTTTTTTTTTTAGGATTTATTTCAATACACTGGCTTTATTTGCACTGTTGTATCATGTATTGGTACCTGTTATGATAGCGACATTTATTTGTATGTGTGCAGTAATATTTGGGTGCTGAGGTTTACAAAACAAGTAAATATTAGAAATTTTATAGATGGCAGTGCCAGCCATTGCCTCTGTCATAAATGGCACTGACCCATGTGCCTTGGCAGTGCCATAACAGCACTGTTATATGTGAGTAGTTGTGTAGTGGCACGGTGTGGCACAGCGTCGCATCAGCTTTTCAACAGTTCTCTCCATGCTCCAGCTGGAGGAGTCACTCATTCCTCACTGCTTGTACTCCTATTGTGCACATTCTCCTGCCATTTTACTCTTCCATGTCTGTTTTGTACGTTGTCGTGAAAATGTCAACAATAACAAATAGCAATAAAACACCAGAGGAACAGCACGAAAGGCAATGAAATGCAGTACCGCACCACAGCTCCACCCTGTGTGAACAATGACTGATGGTCCTATGATGCAGTACCGCACCACAGCTCCGCCCTGTGTGAACAAGACTGATAGTCCTATGATGCAGTATCGCACCACAGCTCCGCCCTGTGTGAACAAGACTGATGGTCCCCTCACATACAAACCTTCCTCTTGCCTGAGGCGATGTTGAAGTCGCCAACAAATAAAAAGAGCATATTATATAGTCTTCAGATTTTTTTCTGAAAATGCCAATTGTTAGAACAATCAGGTATGGCCGCAATGACGAGACAACAATGGTGGACAGTTTTGCTTTGGGGGGAGTTATTTACTTGCAAAAGATAATTATTTAAGCGACGAGATTTTCACAAATGATGCCAGAAGCTACGAGATTTTCACAAAAATTTTCCATTAGAGTATTTTTTGATTTTTGGTCAAAATAAAAGCACCCCTTAACAAAATCATAAATGAACAATATAACAATCCATGTTATACAATACTCACAGTGAAAACATCTTTAGAATATGAACTCACCCCACAGTAATTCAGATATTGGATATTACTTCAAACCTGTCAGATTTTGACAGAAATTGACAATACAGTATGCTACAGTATAATATATGGAGAAAAGCTCGAGTTATGGATGACATCCTGTATACCTAAAAATACGTAGATATTTGCCCACTACAGTAGGGTGGTATTAAATATCTGGCTTCTTCTTTCGATGCAGTAAATGATCATGAATTTTACTAATATTCCTTGTGATTGACTTGTGTTTTGTCAGGTGTTCATTGATGGAGAAGGTGGGGATGAGGCTGGGAGTGAAGTTGAAGAAGACATTGAAGCTCCAATGACACCTCAGAATTTTACTGCTCCGTCTGCGACGGTAAATGGGTCAGCTCATCCTCCTGAACCAGAACCAACACCACCTGCTGCTCCCCAAACTCCAGTAGCTCCACAAGTTCCCACTCCAGTTCCAGTAAGTGTGATCTTCAGGTATTAATAATGCCTGCATTGTAGTTGACCAGAGGCTTAGTAGAATAAATTAGACAGAAAAATGGGGGGGGGGAGACCAATTGAGAGATGAAGGCAGACCAATTTTTAGTAATGGCAGATGGCTATTTTCTTTTAAAATACAATTTTGGATCCAATATCTAAATACAATACAGTATATTAGATATGGTATTGGCTAACAGGGAGACACTAGTAAATAGCAACAAAATATGGAGTAAGTTAAGGAACAATCGAAAGGAATTTTATATCATACCAGACGTTGGAATCAATCTGGGTGATGCCCAGACGTCTAACCCTCTTGCATTTTTAAGTCGTTTTTTTTAACATTTAGACAGCTACTGTCATTGTATGATGGCTTAATAAAATGTAGTTATGGTCGTGTGACAGTTTGTGTCATGTTTAATACGGATATATGGATAGACCATATGCATAGAGCCTGTCCTAAGGCAAGCTCGGGGAGTAGAGAATTCCCGAAACCCTCGCCAGGTATGCTCCAGTTCCAGTATCTCTATAGTATCTCCCAGCTGTTATGGGGGCCACTAAATAATTTTAAGTGTGACATCCTCCAGCTCTGGTACAGCTGATCCCCACAAAATCCCCAAATCATACGATGATTGTTATTTGTTCCTGGACCAGCATGAAGATCTATACCGTGTAGAGGTTTGATTATTTTCATGCTTTTGCATACAATTCTTTAGTTTTAAATATAGCTCATGAAAAATATAATTAAACATTTTGTTTGTGCTTGACTCCCATCACTGTGTGGGAGTCACTGATGCCTAGTGGCAAAAAGAATGTTGACCCAGACTAAAATATGGTAAGATAATGATTTTTTCCTTTTTCATAGATACACCTTTTTATAGGGAAAACTAGTTACTTTGATTTTTTTTTTTGAGATATATACAAGAGTTGTTACATTCTTGTCCAGCCACTAGTACGCGTAGCGTTTCAGGCAGGTCCCTGGAATACGATCCCCACCGCGAAGAATCGTTGTTACAACCATTTTACAAGTACACATTTTACTGTTGCATTAAACAGAGGCTACAGTTAAGGATTTGCGCCCAGTAAATCCTTCCCGGCCAGGATACGAACCTATGACAAAGCGTTTGCGGAACGCCAGGCGAGTGTCTTACCACTACACCACGGAGACTGTGTTTTAATCTTTGCATTGCACAAGGGTACATTGGGCATTATTGTATGTGCACAAAAAATAGTATTCAAAACAAGATTTTTGTTGTATTTTTATATTGATAAAAACTATGCCTTCAGCATAAAGTGTCCCAAAAATCATTTAACTTTTCAAGGTAGAGGATGTTTTAAATGAGACCTCGTGCACCAATAGGGAACACAGCATGCCCGCGGGTGGGGGTTCGAATGTTGGCTAAGTAAACATCTTACGGGTGTTATGTGCACCATGAGTCGAACTTCTTAACACTAACGATACAGCATTGCGTCGTCCGAACAGCAACAGCAGTTCCACTAACGACGCAGCATTGCGTCGTTGGTGCTATAAAGTAGTGGCATTTTCGGGAAGGTCTTGTCGTGGTTTTGGACTTTATATGCTTATACTCTTGTAGGGAATTTCATTGTGAATACATTGATACCAAAATTACAGATCTAGGACCAGAATTGAGGTAACAAAAGTTGAAAAGAGTATAACCATTTTATTGCTCTTTATTAGTGCTCGGCGTTGTATGGGGTAATGCTCCGTCACTTACTCTGCTGTGGATGGTATGCTGGGCTTTTGGACATTATATGCATATACTCGTGTTGGAAATTCTATTTCAAACACAATGATCCCAAAATGAAAGACCTAGGACAAGATTGAGATGTCCAAAGTGAAGAGAGAGTATTGCTCTTGTAAATGTAAATAAAATTACATTTTATTGCTCTTGTGCGCTCCTGGGTAAGACACTCTCACTTTCTCGCTGGGTGTTTGGGCTTCATATGCATTTAGTCCTGTAGAGAATTCTTTTGCGAACACATTGATACCAAATTGAATAACCTAGGATGAGAATTGAGATGACAAAGTTGAAAAGATGTGCACTTTTCAGTATTACTGCGCTCTAATGTAATGAGAGGTACCTTGGGTTGGCGTAGCCCTCTCTCTGGTCCACGTTCATCTTGTCGGAGGGTGGAACACACTGCATTTTTTTTACTTTATATGCATATACTCCTGCTGGTAATTCTATTGCGAACACATTGATACCAAAATGAAAGATCTAGAACGAGAATTAAGGTGACCAAAGTGAAGAGTGTGTACACATTTTATTGCTATTGCACACTCCCAGGTAACTCGCTCTCACTTTCTCTGTTTGCTGTGAGTGGTAAGCCGGGCTTTTGGAGTTTATATATGCATTTAGACTTGTAGAGAATTCTGTTGCGAACACATTGATACCAAATTGAATATCTTAGAATGAGAATTGAGGTGACAAAAGTTGAAAGGAGTATACACTTTTCAGAATTACCGCGTTCTCCCTCGCCCTCCCGCAGAACACCCAAACCCACCTGGGGTAGTGCAGCGCTCACGGGCCCAAAGCACGAAAGTGTTAAGATGGTATACACTCTTCAAGGGTTAAATATAGACATGATATCTGCAATGTACTCTGGTACCCATACACCAGTCAAGGGTTGAGAGGTAGGAGCCTAGCTCATCTCCCGCAAATTCAAATAGGCAAGTACGGCTAGACGAGAACCATCGCCTCTCGCCATCCATCGCAGCCGAACTCGTTTTATCTGCATTCCTAACATTATCTGCTAATTAGTATATCTCAAAATTGCTCATGTTCTAAAAACATGCAAGCCTAAGTGTACATGTTAAGATTGGCTATGATAATTACGTTTGTGATTTGTTCACACGTGTTTTAATTTCATATTTGTATTGCTAGATAATCTGGCATAAGACCATGTACCCACTTCGATATTCTGCTTTTTATTTCATATATTTTAATTACATGTGTTATTGCCAGATCTGTGCATTTTTATATTCTTGAATGTACATTCTGAACACACATTTGACTAGTTTATTGAATTTACAATTTGTTTTCACAGACTGAGTGGGGAAACCAAACATCACAGACTTTAAGGGAGGTAAGTACCACAAGATGGTGATATTAAATTTAGTTTGGATATGATAATTGAATGTTGAGGACTAAGTTACTCCTTCAGACCTGGCACTCAGAAATTTCTGGGATAATGTCCAGTTGGCACTTTTCTTTAAGTGTTTGACTAGGATTCATTTTGTTTTACATAGAGTAAGTGTATTCTTTTAATATATACAAATTTTACATTTTTATGTAAAATGATAGTGGTCTAAATAATCTGTTACAAGACCAAATGAGATTTAGATTATATAATCATAAATTCAAGGAAACCCATAATTCCCAATTGATTTTTTAGTTGAAACTCCATTTTTTAAGTGCAGTTTTTACATGTTTTAAACCTCAAAATGTTAGTTATTTTTATATTTTCTTGGCCACACAGATCATTGATCATTTGCCAATTTTTGTTAGAAATGCTTGGTTATTGATGTGCAAATTAAATTTACGCACACAATTGTGTGTGTAAATTTAATTACACATCCAGTGTTAACTAGTAAGTGAAGAGTGTGTGTGTACTCTTGCATGGTGTCAATTGACACAATGACTCCACCACATGGCTTCTCCTCCAGCTTATGAAGCCACAAAATACGCAGGACTTTGATATTTATTTTAACCCCTCTCACAGACTAGGTGACAATCTAAGATATTTCCATTTAGGTTGTAGCAGTGCCAGCTTCTGTAAGCTGTGCATCAGTTGTGACGAGTGCACCCATTGTTGCTCCGCCTTTGTCTCCAACACCTCCGGCACCAACTACAACAGAAATTGTACCCGAAGCTCCTCCTACTCCAGAAAAGGTGATTTAATCTAATTGTTGAGAGGTTTAATTTAAATTCAAATATGTGGTAGAATATTATAGTTGCAGAGATAAGTATAATTTCTGCTTAAAGAATAATGTGATTTAAGGACAATTATCTCTGGAAAGGATGATGAAGGTTGGGGTACTCCTGTCTCTGACGGTTGGGGTGGCTCTTCAGAACCCCAGAGCACATCCTGGGATGAACCAGCAGTTCCACACAAGGAAACCCCTGATCCAGACCCTCCCCAGCCTGATCCAGTTCAACAACCAGTATCAAGTGAACCCAAAACATATGCAAATTTGTTTAAGAGCAATCAAGGATATGGTGGCACACCACCACCACCTACATGTGCAGCCTCTCACCCACCTTCCACACAGTCAACACCACCTGCACCCCACCACAATCAACAGCTTGTAAGTGTTGTAGAATTATAATTTACATTCAGTTTTATTGTATGAGCTTGATCTTAATCTATAAAAAAGTGTGATGGTTCTCTAAATTTGTCTTAACACTTTTGTGATAAATGAGAAGACAAAATTTAGCAATATGCTAAATACATATACACGTTAATTGTGCCTATGGCACCTCTACTCTTTACTGGCTCAATTTTGCATTTCCTGCCATATCGTTCACTCTAGTATGTTATTTTACTGTGCAAATTTTGGACTTGGCCTTCCAGTATTTTCCATGTATGTATGTATGTGTGAGATACCTCTATGGTACCTGTGTGTGATACCTCATCATCTTTCCAGGGAATACATTGAGAGCTTTGAGATGGTCCCAATAATTTAACTGCTTTATTGTGTGTGCTGTATATGTTCTCTGTATTCCCTCTGTTTCAGCAATCTCTTCTGCTCTGAAGGGGGAAGTGAGTACAGTACTCAAGGTGGGACAGCACAAGTGATTTGAATAGTATGACCATTGTGCTAGGATCCTTGGATTTCAGTGTTCTCATTTCATATAATTTTTCTAGCCGACATTATATTTACTTGGTTATGCTCCCTAAATGTTAGGTTATCAGATGTCGTTATTCCCAGATCCTTTTTATGTTGATTTCCTTCTATGGGTAGATCTGATTGTCTTGTACCCTGTATTTTGTTTAAATTCTTGATTTTTTCTTTACTTAACCACTGCTGCGCCGGCCAAGAAAACTCCTTTGCCCGAAAATGTGTCGGCCGACACATGATGTTGATAGAATATCGGAAGACTCGATAAATGCCATGCATACAAGGGAGGGGCACACATGTGCTTCCTCACACCTCCAGTAACTATCCTCAATCTTGAAAGAATATCCTGAGAATATCCTGAAAATACACTTTCCTTTCATGGGCTTAGTAACATGTTCCAGGTTATCTTGAGGTTGTCTTGAGATGATTTCGGGGCTTTAGTGTCCCCGCGGCCCGGTCCTCGACCAGGCCTCCACCCCCAGGAAGCAGCCCGTGACAGCTGACTAACTCCCAGATACCTATTTACTGCTAGGTAACAGGGGCATTCAGGGTGAAAGAAACTTTTGCCCATTTGTTTCTGCCTCGTGCGGGAATCGAACCCGCGCCACAGAATTACGAGTCCTGCACGCTATCCACCAGGCTACGAGGCCCCTCTTACTTAGACCTTTGAAACGATCCTAAGGCTCTTGGCTTTAGGAACGTGTAGGGCAGCCATACTATGATCCACTGAAAGTTTGACAGGAGCAAGTGAATGATTACCATTATATGCTACAGACGAAACACCTAACTTAATACAGTTGACAGCCAATCATTAACACGGCAACCTAACTGCCGGTATGCAAAGGGATCACAAGAGTTCCAACTGGATACTCGGGTAATGATGATATGCAATAAACACAATGGCACTGTCAATGGGACAGGCAATAACATGCACAATAATAATGTCACACAATAACTAAATGTGTGGTGTATGTGAAGCTCACGTTCACAGGCAAGTGAAATGCAGTGATACCACGCATTCACCGTCGATTCACCTATACCCTGTGACAGGTATGAGAAGATGAGAACTGTGGTTGATACCTCAGATCAACACAGACACAATAAAACAATGACAAGATCTTGTACTTACAGGTGGGGGTACCTCTCTTATTTACTCAGGCACATTTATACAAGCACTCGTAGGTGGCCTGATAGCTGGTTTCGCTCGTAGACACGGAGGGTACTCGCAGTAGGGTGTGCTGTATGCTTAACAGACACACACGCACATACACACTGGTACTGGCGGTGAGTAAGGTGGTGACGTCACGTAGTACAGTGAGGGCGGCGGCGGGCGCTCGAGGCTACACGCTCGGGACAGAGTGGCTGGCGGCTGCAGGTTATTATATGGTACCATGCAGGTACACTTGTGGTAAAGTCACACACAGGTTACTTAGGCGGCGGCACTGCTTTAGTTCACTCTAAGTCACTCACAACGATCTTTGTCACCAGGGGTTACCTGATACCAGTCTGTTTCGCTCTGGTGATTTTGTCACTATAAGCTTCTGAACAATATATTCACAATCGTGATTCTGAGCGAGTGTGGGTGTATCGAAAAGACGCTGAGTTAACTTGACGTTTGAGGAATGGACGGAGTTCAGTCTATTGGCCGTTAGACAGAACAGGACACGTCCTCTGTGTAAAGGCTCCCTCACGTGAATCCTTTTTCCTGAGGCTCAGAGCGTCTCGTGGGCACACGACACAAAAGGTTACAATTTGACCAATAGCATAGCAGTAGATGAGCGGGAACCAATCATAATGACCGTTCGATGATCAGTAGGAGTGGTGACGTCATGAACACGTCACGACCACGTCATAGCTGTTACTCTCCATCGCGCCGGTTGAAGTTGACCCCAGGGTCACACTGTCGCCTCGCAGGCGTCTCTCACGCTGGCACCAACCAATGTACTCATTGACCCTTGGTGGCAAGTATGCTTAACTTCCCTGTATCTACTTCCTGCCTGGACATACGGCGGCCTCCGTATGATGCAAGTGTTCCTGGTTAAGTGGGCATTCTGGAGATACCCAACATGCCAGGTCACTATCCAGGGTTAAGAGAGATGGGCTTGTGCACGTAGGTCTCTGCACTGCAATGAGCCATTCCAGTCAGCTGTGGGAGAATCTTGAGAAACCATATTCTCACAATGCTTAATGACAATTTGCTGTCTTGTTTTAGGAACATCCTAAAACAAAGACAAAAGCAATTGTCAATAGATAAGTTCATGCAAAAGGAGAGAAAAGAAGAGCCAGTGATAGTGAACCACAACCTGGTCCCAGTGGGGTGAAATTCCCAAGAAGAGAGAGCCCGCCTGACTCAGAGGTGGATTCTCCTTCCACACCATAACCCCTCTCCTCCTTCCCACCTCCCCATCGTCTCCCTCAAGCCAGCAACTACTCTTTATAAGATAAAGTAAACATGAAAACAGTACAACAAAACATTTATATTTACATGGGCAGTATTATATTTACATAACAAAATGTCATACAAGTATGGATGTTTTTGGGAGTGGAATGGATTAAATTTATTTCCTTTATTTTAAATGGAGAAATTTGTTTCTTAACCCTCAAACCGCTAGGGGCCCAAATGGAATTCACACCCACAGGCGCAAAAAAAAAAAAAATCCAAAAAATTCTTTCGTCTTATAGAAGTGTTCATTTTTGTTCCCAGATCACGGAAAAAATAACAAAAAAATCGTAGGTGGCATATTTTAGCCGCAATAGGGTAGGGAAGTGTGGCAGAAAAGGGGCGTTGGCAGAGCCTTCGCTAGAGCCTTCGCCAGACGAGGTCTACTCCGCCCGAGCTGTCAGACGGCAGTTGCCACAAATATATTATTACCTAATTATTTCAATGTCTCTGATTGATTTTTTCTTAGTTTTTTTGCAGTATTATTATTCCATACAGTGACTTGTGGTATATTTATATTATAAAATGTGTGAACCATCGCTGTACTCAAAATTATGGTTTGCATATTAGTGATTCAATTATTATGTTCATAAAACAATAAACAAATAGTTTTGCTGTTGTTACACTATATACACAGGTTATATATAAGTATTTGCATGTTTTGTACACCATAACGAACTACTAAGTTGGTCTTGTGAGTCAAAAAGCAACAAGGAGTGACCGCCAAACACCAGCGAGCCACTCACTGCCACTCCCTCCCTCAACACCACCTCACTCACCTTCATTCACCCCCCGCAATACTCTTTCTGTATTTATTCACTATACACAGACGTTATATATACGTATTTACATGTTTTGTTCACCATAACTGTACATCTAAGCTTGTATGGTGAGTAAAGGCCATAAGACGTAGCTACTCACACAGTCAGCTGATCGGCGGCCGCCCTCAAGGCCAGACGCACTAATATTTGTCCTTCAACAATATTGTTTGTGGTGTTATTACGCTATATACACACATTATATATAAGTATCTACCTGTTTTATTCACCATACTTGAACAAATAAGCTGGTATGGTGCCCAAAGACCATAGTGGCCATCAGTAAACACCATGCCAAGTCGTGCAGACGACGCTCCTCCCTCACCAAAATGGCGGCTCCCAACCTACTCCTCTCGCTGTTATCTCACACTATACACACGTTATATATAAGTATCTACATTTGTGTTCACCATATCGAACCACTAAGCTGGTATGGTGAGTGCAGTCAATAAATGGTGGCCACACAGAGTCAGAAAACGACGCCACAACCCTCCCTCCCACAGCCTTACTCCTCCCTCCATGGAGCACAGCGCTAAATATCACCACAATCCTGCTATTATCAGAATCCTGGTAATTATCACAGTCAGGGGGCTTCAGTAATACTATCACTGCTAAATAATAGCAGTATCATTTATATTATGGTATTTGTAGGTGATGCTGTGGTCACAAGCTGAACAGCGGTGCTGTGAGCTCGTGCTGCGTGCGCCAGCCTTGGTGGCTTGCTCAATACTGACGCTGTAACACCCAAGAATGTTGGCCTGGATTTTTTTTTGGTGGCATCTGGCAACTATTGGTCGTGGCTGTACTATAGCTGCCCCTATCCCAGGCGGGGCGTTTAAATTATAGCGCTAGACACGAAATCATATATAAATGATGTGCGCGGTTTCGGTTTTGTCACCGATATCATTTATATATGATATGCGCGGTTTGAGGGTTAAGATGAGTTTTCCACATAACGACCTCGGTGCCAGAACGGATTAAACTAATTAATAGAGGTGCCACTGTGTGTGTGTGTGTGTGTACTCACCTATTTGTGCTTGCGGGGGTTGAGCTTTGGCTTTTTGGTCCCGCCTCTCGACTGTCAAAGAACTGGTATACAGATTCCTGATCCTACTGGACTCTATCATATCTACATTTAAAACTGTGTATAGAGTCAACCTCCACCACATCACTGCCTAATGCATTCCATCCGTTAACTACTCTTGACA